GGAAAATGGGGGCTGTATCTGGGGACTTGGCAGGTTGGAGGCTGTGTCTGGGGTTTGGGGTCTTCCTTGGAGAGAATTGGAGGCTTGGTGGGAGATGTGTCTGGGCAATAGAGCTGTACCCCACCAATACTGACCCTATGTCCCTCCTCCAGGGTCCTCCTGGTCCCATGGGCTCTCTGGGCCCCCCTGGGCCCTCAGGCGTGGTGGTGAGTATGGTGGGGTTTGTGGGATGGAACCACCGTGTTGGGCCAGGCCAGGACCCCAACTCTCCCTGTCTCTACCCCACAGGGCCCTCTGGGACAGAAGGGCTCAAAGGGGTCCCCGGTGAGTACACGCTGCTCCCTTGGGCTTCCACATGCCAGGTCCCGACCCGCATCCCCACTTCTCCAGAACTCTCAATGCCTCTGTATTCACTCGTTTATTTCTTGATTCAACCATGCATTCAATAAATATTTATTCACTGCCCACCATTGTATTTCATCAAATCTAAGATGCCATCAGTTCTAAGATGCACCATTATTTTATAAACTGCTATGAGAGAAAACTGTTCTGCCAAGTAAACGATGACTTGTCAAAGATGCTAAGATGCTGATTTCAGAGATGTTAAAACATGGAAGAAATGTGTGTCTTATGCTTAATGCTGAACATTGCCCTGTGTGTGTGTGTGCGCGTGTGTGCGTGTGCGTGTGTGCGTGCGCGTGTGTGCGTGCGTGTGTGCATGTGTGTGCGTATGTGCGCGTGCGCATGTGCGCGCGCGTGTGTGTGCGCGTGTGTGTGCATGTGCCCATGTGTGTGCGTGTGTGTGTGTGCGTGTGTGTGTGCGCGCGTGTGTGTGAGTGTGCATGTGTGTGAGTGTGTGAGTGTGTGTGTGTGTGAGTGTGCGTGTGCATGTGTCTGAGTGTGTGTGAGTGTGCGTGTGTGCGTGTGTGTGAGTGTGCGTGTGCATGTGTTTGAGTGTGTGTGAGTGTGCGTGTGCATGTGTGAGTGTGCGTGTGTGCATGTGTGTGCGCGCGTGTGTGCGTGTGTGCGTGCGCGTGTGTGCGTGTGCATGTGTGTGTGTGTGTGAGAGTGTGCGTGCATGCGTGTGTGAGTGTGCGTGTGTGTGTGAGAGTGTGCGTGTGCGTGTGTGCGTGTGAGTGTGCATGTGTGTGCGTGTGCGTGTGAATGTGAGTGTGTGTGAGTGTGCGTGTGTGTGAGTGTGCGTGTGTGTGCGTGTGAGTGTGCATGTGTGCGTGTGCGTGTGTGTGCGTGTGTGTGCGTGTGTGCGAGTGTGTGTGCGTGTGCGTGTGCGTATGTGTGAGTGTGCGTGTGTGGGTGTGCATGTGTGAGTGTGCGTGTGTGAGTGTGTGAGTGTGCGTGTGCATGCGCATGCGCGTGCGTGTGTGTGTGTTGGCGGGAAGGAGTCTCCATAGACAGAATTCACC